CGTCGAAAACATCGATCTTACTTGATTTTTCTCAAAAGCTTCCGAAACGAGCCAGTCTCTTGTTCGAGCCGTTTGTGCCAATCAACCGCATAAAAGCCCAAATTAATTCCACCATCCGAACGAACCCTTCCCACGGGCGACTTTGTAAATCTCCGTTTCGAGGGTACAAATCCAGCGTATCCGGGCGTTGTTGTTCACGCCTGCATTGAAATTCCACAGAGTGGAGCCCCCCCCAATGGAAACCAAACGGCCGCAACGAATAGCTTCGGGAGTCGATTATCCTCGTGTATACCACAACGCTGGTATTTAACGAGCTAGTACCGAGGGAAAGCTTACCTTTCCCCTCCCTGGCCCCGGCATGCACGTGTGATAACACGCGAGACCAAGGACAAGGGGGAGGGGGTGGAGGATCCAGTGTCGATTCTCTCTCTCTCGCTAGCAGTCATGGACGAGGGATTTCGCACGCGTAATCCAAGTGACTTATTGTCGCCTGGCGCTTGGAGATACGAGCTCTCTCTCTCTTGCAGCTCGGAGAGAAATCGAGAGTACGTACGTACACCGCCCTCTACACTTGTTCCCGTCGGTTCTCACTCCTTTTCCCTCCCTCCCCGGTGTTGGGCTGATTCCGTGTATCGCGTATGTGCCCATACACATCGACAACGGAGTCGACGAGACACCGACGCAGCGCGAGTCAAGCTGCACTTGATCCAGATACGAGGACATCACCCGCCGCTCTTCCTCCATCCCCCGTTGGCTGAGCTGGTCTAATAATTCTTGAGATTGGGATTGATCCTGCCCAAGCTCCTGGTATTAATTCCGTCTAAGAAATTGCATCCACGTCGGGGTCTTTCTCGTAGCTCGTGTCACGTTGTGGAGGCGCGGGATAGCGTGCCCCTCGTACCTCCCACACAAAAGCTACATTGTTGTTCACTCGAGCTAGAATATATCCTCCGCGAAAGTGACCACAGTGCCCCAGGGGGTGAGGGGGATGGAAAAAAAAAATTTGGCGGACAGAGGAGGCTTTTTTACATGAAAAAGTGGAAAAAAATGATAATAATAATCCAATCCCCTCCGCATCGGCACCACTGTACACGATTACACGTGCGCGTCGCTGTTAATTTAAATAACTTGTTTGGGCGAAAGCTCTGGCGCGCGTCCGCTTTGTCGTGTTTGTATTCGTTTTCGCAGTTACGTACGAGTTCGTGTAATCTACAACTGCAACAACATCGTATGCCGCCTCGTGTGGTATAGGTGTGCGCGTGAAAGTAATGGGCAATTAATATGTAGAGTCGAGGATGCGCGCGTGGGTTTTGGAAAAACGAAAAAACGAAAAAAACCTCATAATCCCCGTGGTGCAAACGAGCTTTTAGCCAAAATCACGCGATCGGACGAGCTTGCGGGAGTCAACCATCACTCTGTTATATCATGTATAGTCTCGTTTGCCTACATAGTTTGAAGAGCTCTTGAATAGCATATACATCACAGCGCAGCGCTGCTCTTCGGTCGGATAAGGAAGTATATAGGCAAGGGGGTGTGGGAGGGTTAAATTATGCGGGACTTGTCTAGTAGGATTTGGCTGTTGCCAGCGATGAGATGCTCGGATGCAAAATTTGAAATTAATTGAGTTTACGAGGCGCTTCGAGGGATTATTTACCCCCGCTTCCCTCCATGCGATTCCAACCCCCTCGCCCCGCCCATTTTTTTTTTTTTTTTTTTTTTTTTTTTAATGCACTTTCATCGCGAAGCTGTGCGATTATGTGTATTTTGTTGGACGAGGGAGCTTTGGAGTGTCAATTAAGAGCAAAACATTGGGAAAACATAGTCCACCGTGCAAACGAATCTACTACTCATTTTTCTTTTTCTTCCGTTGCGTAATAATAATCCAAGGGGTGCATACGCCAGTCTCCAAAATTCGCGTTCAAACACACGTGTATGAAAAAAGTATCTACACTCGAATAACATGTAGGTGTTATATAATGGGTCGTGTCAGTGTTCGACGTACCCAAACCTCTACTCCTATCGCACGCTTTGACAGCTCAAACGAGCGGGAAAACTCGCTACTAGCTCTTGCGAACAGCGTGGGGGGGTGGGGATGTTGGGGGAGGAAAAAGATCCAACTCTCGTGCAGCTGAGCCAGGCGTGGATACAGATATGTAGATATCCGCCTGTACCGAATAGTCGCCAATATTTGATGTTTACGTCGGGGGAGCGACGGAAAATTGAAGGGAACCCACTGCCATCCGGGAAAAGCTTACCCCCTTTTTTTCTCCGTATACAGATACTTCTACGATAAAAAAAAACAAAACAATGGCACACCCACGCACGTACTAATTTTCCGTCGAATGGCGTAGGCAGCATGTCTCTAGCGCTTGAGCTCACGTCGAGTCACCGTACGTGCACCTAAGGATCCATGGACGTACGTAACGCCCCATCGGAAGAACAGGGAGTATTAAAAATTCACCTGCAACTCCTGGGCGTTAGACGAACTGCCAATGCCAGCAGCATCCACTTTGTGCAGAGAAGGAGGGAATCCATGGCAAAACTCGTCCATGCGAGGCCATTTAATACGCGAAATATCTCTTTGCTGTCAAGCACCGGAGCTCTGACCTTCCTGTATAGATGTATATGTAAGGCTGCAGAGAGACGGGAGGGAGGGCTCATCTCGCTTTGTCCGTCTGTTGGCGACGCAGCCCGAGAGAGAGCAGTCGATTGAAAAATAAGGAAAACTTCCCGATCGAAGTTCCCCCTTGTCCTGCTGCACTTGGTATCTCCTTGTTCCTCGTTCTTTTGCGAAAAACGTCGAGTCGAGTCTCCCTCGGCCACTTTTTTTTTGTTGCACCGTTCCGCTTGTCTTTTCCTCTCGTATACTTTGGTTCACTTGGTTTTTCTTTCTCCTCCCCCCCCCACCCCTTTCTTTTTTCGCCCCGGCCTTCCCTTGCGTGTCACCTTTAACTTGTTTGCACCGCGTCACCTCGCTTCCTCGACAGAGATGGTGGGTGTAAAAACAAGGTCACACACCCCAACTTTTCCATTGACAATCGACCAAACGACCGTTACTTGTTTCTTTTATCAACATTTTTCGCTCAAGCATAACAATGCTGTGCCTTATACCTCTACCCATATGATAAATAAATCTCGTGGTCGTCGTGACAATGGGATGAAAAAAAGGGAGGAAAGAAATGAAAGGAGCAGATCATCGTCCAAGCGTGCTTATCCGCTTTGTTGACGGAAGAAAAGCTTCTTCCTCCTCCTCCATCTCTTCATCCCAAGCTTGAACGCGATTAAATGTACTTTACGTGTATAGGTGTAACTAAATGTTGTAGTATGCATATAGAAATAAATAAATAAATACTTGATTTTCTGCAACTATACATTTACAATGTTGTACACCGACTATATGTATGGTGGGGAGATACAAAACCCCACATTGTGTACATTGGAGCCATAATCTACGCGTGGGGCATTACGGGCGCATACGCGAGTCGACGGAAATAAATGAAGCGAGCGGGTGAAAAAGGGGGCGAGAGAAGAAAAACACGCGGGGGCACGAGAGTAGTCGTAAAAAAGTCGCGGACAAGGGGGACAGGGGGAAACTTTCGAGCGCGATGTTATTCTTGAAAGGGAAGGATAACATGTGACAGAAAGGGGTGGAAGAGTGGTGGCGTACATTATGCGTGCCGCTCCACGAGTGAGGTCGTTTCCGACGGGGCTACACTTACGCGCGTGTATATATATATATATATATATATGCACATGGGTACCTATCATCGTCTTGGGGGACGTATGGGTAAAACTTTGCTCAGCGAGGGGAGGTTAAAGGTACATTGGGACCGAAAAAAAATACAGGGGTTGGCGTGTATTTTTGCAGACGCATCGAGTGCCCATTAAATTTATCGATGGAATACATATTAGCGATGCCATGACATTTCCTTCAATCGTTGGATATCCTCTTTGATGTCCCGGTCTCTAAAGCAGATGGATGTTGAACGGAAAACAAATCGCGGGAGGGGGGGGGGAGGAAACTTGAAGAACAACAAGCAAACTGGGGAGGAGGTAAGAAAGGAGCCTCTCAAAAAGTTAACTCTGCCGCCGCTACTCGTGTTTTGTAAGTACGAAAAAGGAAGAAAACTGTGCTAACTCTTAAAAAATACGAGCGAACAGAAAGAGAAAGGGTGGAACAAAAATAGAGAGAGAAAACCCCACAGTCAATGGGGAAAAAAGCCCACTTTGCTTTATTGTCATTCCATATTTTTTTTTGTTTGCAAATAAACGTCCAATGCGACTATTTTTTCCTCCGGTCGATTTCATATACCTCGCAGCAACAGTAGCTTTTAAAAGCTTTATTGAAAGTGACAGGAAAACTGCTCTACTCTTTGGCTGACTACTCTTTGCGCACATTTGTCTCATTTACATTGTTGTTAATTTTACAAGTGACTATTTTCGCGAGTCAAATATCAGGTAAACTTTTATTTGAAACATGATTTCACTTTTGATGGAACCATTTTACAGTGTAAAAGTAAACTGCATTTACTGATAACAAGGGTATCAAAACAACTCACGAACATAATTAACAAACGCGCTCCTGGACCTTTGCAAAAGTGCTCTATGCAACAAATGATGGCTTGTAAAAACTCTCTGAAATTATTGGGTACTCATGATATCACAGCTATAATGTATTTGTTGAACAAAAATCCACAATATTGAGCTAAATATTATGTGATAATTATTTCTAAAATAAACTTGAAACATGATGTTAACGATCTCATTTCCAGTTTTATTCTATTGTATTATATTCCAGTTTTACCTGCTTATGAAACATAAATTAAATAATTCGATAAGCTCGTTTGCTTAACATATCAAACATGCGCCACATTTCGATATTTTAAAGAATTCAACGAACTTTGTCATGCAAAATAAAGTGAAAGATTTCTGATATAAATAAGGTGTAAAGAAGAAAGTGCTTTTTTTACTGTGGACATCAATTCAAACGATAATTCAACATGAAGTGGACCTGCTTTGTCGTAAATTGGTTGATTCTCTTCAACCCACTATTGACCAGTTGTGGTGAGTTTTGTAAATGCTTTTGCGTTCTTCACTTACATTTTATTGTGTGTATACTCTCTCAAGTAATCGATGTAACTACAATTTTTTGTAACAGTGAAAGCTTTGATTGTCAATGGTGGCGCCAAATCTTTGCCTGGACAGTTTCCCTACGTAGTGTCGCTTGTCAGCTTGAAGGATTCATATTGTAGTGGCAGTATCATCCACAAAGATTTCGTTCTAACTGCAGCTCACTGCGTTTGCAGTGAAAGTGGTGAAATCAATACCGATCCCTTGTGGATAGTGGCCGGAACTAACAATATGAGATATCGTCTTTACCCAGCTGTGAAAATTTCTGTCGAAAAGGTCTATGTGCCCACCGATTTCGATCCAAACACGTTTGTGGGGGACATTGCCGTATTAAAGGTACGATTTGCTTATCCGAGTCATGTTGCTCGCTTGGTTCTAAACGTTTAACGTTATTGACGCAGCTCGAGAGCTCACTTGACTTGGATAACAACGAGTTTTTACAAAAAATCGATTTAGACACAATTGGATACGAAAGGTACAAAAAAAAAAAAGCTTCGATTGCGGGATTTGGCTGCTACGAGCTTGGTTATTTAATCAGGGACGACGGCTCTTACGAGGGCGTGGAGTGCTTAAAACATGGAGTACTACATCACGGCAGCGCTGTAATATTGAGCAACAATAAGTGCCAAAAAAAATTTACGGTAAGAATCGTTATTTTAAGCAATGTGTTTGATATGCCCTTGATTAAAAAAAAAACTGAACATTAATCATTGCTGTGTAGAAGCGCTCCAACATATTTTTCAAAACGAAAGTAAAAACAATTCATCGATCGCAGTTGTGCACTGTTCTCATCCCACTTCAGGAACATCTGACGATCGGTGGTTGTATAGTAAGTACATTATCTCAAGTTACGTAAAAAAAAATATTCTCATGAATTCCACTAATGAAGCATTAGTAATTACAGTAAAACAAATTTTCTAATAACGAAATCGTACAAAAAAATCTAACTAAATTTTTATAGGGCGACAGTGGGAGTCCAATTGTAATAAATGGAAATATTCAAGTTGGAGTCATGAGTTTTGGCAGTAAATTATGCAATGATGAAACACTGCCATGTATCTCGATCGCAGTTTCATCTTATGCGGATTTTATAAATAAAGCACTCGCAGATTCACCTCCGGGTCAGTACTTACGATCTGTTAATCTACCTCTTAATAGAGAGGTATCATCTGTTTAACGTTGCTGTGCCAACGTGAAAGAAGATACATCAGAGGTTAAACGAAAGTTTAGAAATTATATGAAAAGGCTGATAAATTAATAAAGAAACAGAGTATGTACTTATGAAAGGAAAAAAAAAATTGTATTCAAGAGAAAGTCCAAAACCTTACGAACGAGAAAGAGTTAAAACAAAGTTTAAAAAATGAAAAAATTAATCAATCAAAGTGAAATTCATGAATCTTATGGCTAGTAATGTACAAATTGTTTTATTAAAATTACTACAAACGTTTATTTACCACTTTTTTTCTTTAAATTTCCCAATTATCGTGTAACTTATTTAATGTGCGTTGATTTGTCTGTTTTGTATGGATCACTTTAATTAAAAATCCCAAAATGATATGGATACAGCTGTAGTATTAAATTTAACGATGTTAGTTGAACAACATCTGTCATTTTAATGAGACATTATTGTTACGTTCATAAAACTTGCTCTCATTAAAAATACTTACTGATATTAGAAAAATTGATTGCAAAAATCAACAACATTCCCCCTACATACAAAGTCACATGATTGATTCAACCAGCAGTAATTGCTCAATAGCAGCTTGTACGGTAAGCTTTTATTGTATGTTTTGCGCTGGAAAAAAAGAACCATCAGTCAAAAGTCGTTATCGAAACTCTATACAAATGATAAATTTACGCGTAGCTAAGACCAAAGTCTGTCAAGCCGTAGAAAACTTAAATTATTTTTAATCATCCAACTTATTACACAAGGACGTATGTATGCGTACACGAGAGACAGAGAGAGAGAGAGAGAGAGCAGTATTAGTTATCCAGATCAAAAGATATAGGCATGGAAATACACTCACATTAGTCTATACATGACGAGCCAAGGTGCAAATGGCGTTATCCAGATACGCTTTTCAAATATTTTCTCACGTACTCGGTTAGTGTAAATCTCAACAAAACAGCTTCAAAATCCCTTCAATTGGTATAATACATACGATTCGTTTTCTGTGTATCAATTGCTCGTGTACGCGTGTATTTGTGCATTGTAACTCCAGTACGAGAGGTGACCGAAAAAAAATGGCCCTGCCTGTTCGACGACGCTTTCTTTCTTCTTCTTCTTCGCTTGAAATTACCGAGGCGCTACGGGCCCAAATTTTTCAATCCATACCATCAACGATTAAAGAAGCTGAATCCTTGAAAAACAAAAACCTAGTTTTAAATCTAAAAAGAGAAAATCTAATTTATATTGGGTACGTGGAACTTCAGAAGCAATGAACTCCGTACAGAAAAGGGCACACTCGAGATATTACCACGCCGTGCTACAAGGGTGGAGGTAACCGTACACGGAGGTAAAGGTACGTTCGTCAGCCGAGAGTTAGCTATATAGAGCAAACGAAAAGCAAAGAGAAAGAAGCCAAGAGAGCGAGTAAGAAATACACGGTGCAGGGCCACCGGAGTTATTGTATATACACAGAGAGAGCGTGGCGATTAAATTGCTTTGCGGCTACATATAGAGAAAGGGGGTTGGTGGGTGGTATCATAGCCGAAAACGAGATTTTAACCATCCAGCAAGTCTTGCGCGACGCCCAGCCGGTGCGCCCTACTCGGCAAGCCCCTGGGCGAGTTATTGCGCGACTTCTGGCAATATTGCAAGGGGCAACTCCTCCAACTCTAGTTTCTATCGTCCGCGATATAGTATATACATCAACTCCTCGCCTCTTCTCTTCGGCGTCTTAATAAATTATTCACGAAGCAGAGAGAGATGTGCTCACTTATGTACACGTACGAGACATCGCATAGCCCACGGGGTCCTCGGCGCGCGACAGACGCGTATGTATATATATGCACTTTAATAAGGAGGACCGCCTCGGCGATAATTGAACTCCGTCCCTTGCCCCACGCTTCCATGCCCTCTCGGATTCGTCTTCTCTCCATCTCTCTCTCTCTCTCTGTGTGTCCCACACGTCGATCCAAATGGCTCGGCTCCGCGTAATGGATACACACACATCTCCCGAATCCCCATTCATCTCGGTCGCTCTGTACACACGTGTGTGTAATATTGTATGTGTATAATGTATACGATGATGATTCGTTGGGTGTACGCGTGTATATGAACGTAGGTATACGGATGAAAGAGGGCACAAGGAACCGGTCGAAAAGATCAAAGGCTCGCCCTCGTGTGGTTTTTCTCACGTGAGCTGCACCAACCGTATACCTATTCACCTATACAGCAGCATATGTATAATATATACATAAGTACCGAGAAATCGTTAAAACTAAACGAGCGCGGAGCTCTCTTTTCGGAGCAGCTCATTTACAGCTCATTTGCCCCCGGCCTGGGATTCTTCCTATTGAATTGCATCAGATGCACCGTTGCATCCATATATATATATGCACTGGCTGCACGTGTGATGGGAACATAAATAAGGTGGGATAGGGAGAGAAAGGAGCCACCGATCACTGCCGCCTCTCGGACGACTCGTTAAGGTGACCGTAAATCACTGACTTTCTCTCTCTCTCTCTCTCTCTCCTTTCGCTGTTGCTTTCTTCCTTCGACCGGTATACAGGCAAGAGCAAATAGTGGGCCATAAGTGTAGAGCAGTAGCTGCGCTTTTACGCTCTTTGGAGGATTTTTGCCAGTTGGCGTCGTTTTATCGCTGATATACGTACGGAGTATCGATGCGCAGTGTACCTGAGAGAGATTTTTCCTTCATTGGATGATGATGCTTAATCGAACCAGCTGCGAGCTTGCAAGCACTACACGCCAATGCACACCTCGAGATGTTTACCGTCAGGTGCGTGAGTTTAAGTGATTTTTTTTTTTTTTTAAGGATTAAGCAAAGTTACGCGAAAGCTCTCTGGTAGAACTTGAAATTTAAATCACAATCCACTGGATGGTTTTGCCGCGAATCGGGGACACGTGCTTGCAAATCGTTTTAGCGGAAAATAATGAAATCGAAATGTGCATAGTGCTTCTCAGTCCATTTGCCGGGAAACAATGCGGATCGAAGGCGGAGGAAAGCTCTCAGCCCGCACGCACTCGGTGACGTGAAAAAATCATAATGCGCCCTCCATTCGTATCATTTGCTCGGGAATGCGTCTATATATGTATATAAAGGGGTATCTGGCGCGCACGTAAATGGAGCTTCGGTAAATGACGACGGTGCAATAGTACCTGGAGAGAGAGGGGCGAAAGGCGCGGGCAAAGGGGTAAGGAGCTGGAAAGAAAAATTCACTCGATCTTCCTTCCTTCTCTTTTTACCGATACTTCGAGTGCCGAGCGAGAAAGATGACGATGCATTTTTCAGTAAATTAGAAAAAGCGGGTGTCGGAAAGGGAGACAACGAAGCGTGTACGGGAGGAAAAAGGGGAATATGGCGCGAAATTTCGCGTTTGACAGAGCACGCGTATGTACACGTACGCGCGTGAGGGGAGGATCCTCGCGCACTTTGTACCTCTTTTTTTTTTTTTTTTTTTTTTTTTTTTTACAGGAAAACAGCTCTCTCGTGTGCGGTGTATGCGCGCGTGCAACGTATAATATGTTTGGAGGCGCTCTCCTTTGAGCGGGGACGGAAAAAATTCCGTAATGAAGTTTCCGGCTGGCCAACCGTGATGACGAGATGGAAAACGCGCTCTCTGCGGCACTGAGACTCATTGTCTTTTGGCTAAATTAACCCCCGGGGCTTTTTTTTCTTTTTTAAACGACACACGTTACTTTGTGACTTTAATGTTTACAGTGATGATGATGTTTCGCGAAACGCGAAATTAAAGGGAAATGTAACGTAACCGGGGGTAATTGGGACAGTTGTTTCGAGCTCTTATTATTCATTTCACTTAAAATGATACGGTTTTTAAACTGAGGCTTGGAAGAGTTGGTGTACTGTATTTTTCAAGCACTTTTATTTATACAATTCTGTATAAAAAAACTCGTTCAATAATAGCACTGAAAGAAAAAAAAAAAAAAAAAAAATTACCGCCCTGCGATATCATTTCGTATCATTTAGTGTCAAAGAAAAGGAAAAAAACGTAATTCATCTTATATTTGTACTTGTGATGGTGTTTAAAATTTCAAAGAGCATGAAGCTTCGCAAATCCTCCGAAAAATCGAACGATTCAATGAAAGTCAAGGTAAAAAATTTTCCTTATCATTTAAAAAGACCTCCCATGACACATTAAGGCCAAGCGTGTCTACCTACACCTAGAATTTCTTCTTCATTTCTAATGGCTCCAAAAGTGGAGCAGCGCACCAGTAGCACGGAAAAAGACTAGAAAGAACATCAAAGGGGAATTTTCTGTTCTGGTAATGTTGAAAAATAAGCCATTGTTTTAATTTCGGGCACGAGCTCACATAAATATACCCGGACAATCTGAAAATCATGTCCATACGTACACTACGGTACAGTTACAAAATTCACAATGAAACAAAAGAAGTTGCAGAAGCGCTGATTCAAAGTACATCAAACACCCAAATAGAGGAGAACAATGGACTGCAAATGACACGTGGAGAAGACCCTTTGGACGAAAAATAAAGTTACATACAGTGGAAAAGAAGGAAAGAAGGGCCGTTTCACGCTCTATAAACGCAAAGTGCGTCCGTGCGTCAGCAAACACGGAGGAGACAACATTTAAATCGACGATCGACTGAGCAGAGGGGGGTGCAGGCGCCTTTTTGCCTTTTCCGGTATAAGAGGAAAAAGGGACATAACTCAAGGGTCAACTTGGCGACCCTCTGAACAAACAATCGGCTCCCTGTAGCTCGTGTTTGTATATATACAGCTATTTTCTCCCCCGACTTTACATCCATCTCTTTGGCGGTGGTTGACCACTTCACGGTGATTCTTTACAAACTGACTCCAACACGTTTGACTTTGCGAGTCAGCGGAAAAGATGATTGTTCTCTGTAGCAAAACTTTTATCACGCGGGTATTACCGATAATGAGTGTTTGGAAGGAAAAAAAAGTCAATCGCTTTGCCGATAATAGCTAGCACGACTGTAATGGTACCTATATA